GTGAACCGGTTTTACGAGCTTGTTTCAATAAGGATTCTGGTACACTCCCCTCCTTACCTACCCCATCACTTTGACTAGGAGAATTGAAGAAGTTGGCATTTGGTTTGAGTCTAGTAGAACCAGCAGGAGATTTCTACTGGCACCACCACTGGAACTCATTTTATGAATTTTGGATCAATGGGTGTGGTGTTATGTTGCATAGTTTGGGTGGGGCTGGTATTTTGGAAGAATGGCATCTAAAAGTGAGGGCCACTATTCTCTTCACTTTGTATCTCTTTCATTCATTCTTTGTCTCTCTTACCCTCTCACTTACTTTACTCCTCTGTATCCTGTCCTTATTCTAACTCATCACTATATTACTGTTACTCTGTTACTGGTACCTCTTGTTCTCTATAGACTATCAACCAGTGGAGAGAGAGGCACACTCCACAGTAAAGGTAGGAGACTACCTATATATGTGGGGTGGGGCCGGGTCTGGAGTAGACTATGATGTGATGGAGGTGTATCACTTACCAACTGGTGCTTGGGACCAGAAACCTACTACTGGTACCCCACCACCAGGTACCTGGGGCTATTCGTCAGTTGCTATTGGGAAGGACATATATTATTTCGGTGGATCTGGTGGTGTTGGTTATCAAAACAGCTTACATTGTTTCAATGTGGATTCATTCAAGTGGAGGGAACTCTCTCCTTCTAGTTCTGATCGCGATCCAATGAAGAAGGCCTACTGTGGAATGATATCAGCTAATTTTGACGGTGAAGCCTATCTTGTAATTATTGGAGGAATTATATCAATATATCAATATATCAATCCTCCGAAGCAACCTGATGCTCAGTATTCAGGTGGTAGATGTAATGAGATACATTATTACAGGATTTCATCAGGTCAGTAATTCTCATCATTGATACACAATAGTTGATGAGTATTTCAAAGTGAATAATTTATATTAATGTACATAAAACAGATTGTTAATAATTAAGTGTGTTTGTTAGTGTGTCTCTGTGTGTCATGTGTTTGTGTGTGATGGTGACGTGTGTCTATATGTGACGTGTGTGTGTGTACTAATACATACATTATGATGTGTCTGTGTATGATAGTGCATCGAATGTATGTGAGAATTTATGAATGTATGATGTGTGTATGTGACGTGTATCTATAATGTGCATGTTATGTGTGTGTGAGTATTATCATGTATCTGTGTGTGTGATGTTTGTATATGGTACATGTATCTATACATAAGCTAATGTGACATGAGTGTGTGTGTGTGTAGGTTCATGTTATTTATTATCATTTTTAATAAAGTTCTGTATCACATGAGTCACAAATTAGCCACATACAATGTTCCATGAGTTTTGTATAATTATTCATTAACAATCATAACTGACATGTACCAGAATAGATTAGTAATCTTGAAATAAGGAGACCCCCTGGACTTCTCCTTCATGTGTACAGGTGTGGTGTGTGTGATGGTGTGTGTATCCATACATGAGTGTATCTGTGTGTGTGTGTGTGTGTGTGTGTGTGTGTGTATCATGTGATAGTGATGTGTGTCTATGCATGATGTGTATGTATAAATAATAATGTACACACATATACACATACATATGTATGATGAATGTGTATAATGTATGTGTGTGTATGTGGTAAGTAAGTGTACATGAATGTTTGTACATTATTATTAGATCAATGGATATCTCCTGTTGTTACTGGAGACAGACCACCTCCTATTAGTTCCTTCACTCTAACCTCAGTGACTAATAACACTGCGGTAATGTTCGGAGGTGCTACTGATAATGGATGGAGTAATAAAGTGTATATGATAAGTTTCACTAAGACATCAGTGGTGAGTTAATACTGTAGGATGGGTTTTGATTGTAAGATTTTTTTGATATTGCAAATTGCACATGATGAATTTTAATTAAATGGCAAATTGAAAGAATTGTATTCTGTCAAAGCTGTATTAACGTGACTTGACATGTTCAAGCACGTTCAAATGATATTTATTCTATGAATTATTTTATACTCTCAGAATATATTAGAAGTACCTAATCCTGGAGGATCAGTACAATGGCCTAAGGAAAGATATGGTCATTCCAGTGTACTGATTACCACTAGTTCAGGACGACACTTACTAATGGTGGGTGGACGTTCTGCCTATGATGTATGGTTACTGGACATTAACAAAAGAAATTGGAAAGAACTGGTAAGTATTATATTATGATGCTTGATAATGAAACATAAAGTGATTAACTAAATTTGTAACTCATGAGGTTTGTAATGTACATGTACATATTATGATACTCAGTGAAAACTACTGATGAATAATGCTGGTATTCAGTATGTGTGTGTGTGTGTCTGTTTTTAGTGTGAATGTGTGTTTGTGTCTTTTTGTGTTTTGTGTTTATTTCTTTACCTAAATATGTGTGAATATACATGTGTCTGTCTGTGTGTGTGTAAAGATGGATTCACAATTGATAGTGTCAATGCTGGAATTAAAATAAATTGTATTTTATATACATTGTGTACATTGTGTATGTACATACATGTATTTGTGTGTATGTGTGCATTTGTTTTAATATGTGTATGTGTGTACTAACACGTACATCATGTGTACCTGTAACATGTACATGTGTGTGCATGTGTGTGAGCAATTATGCATGCTTTACATGTAGCTTTATATGTGTATGCATGTATAGATGTAGATGTATGTGTGTTAGTGTGTCATTAGTATGTGTATGTGTATGTGTGTAGATGCAGACACTTAGTAAGTTCTTAATTGAGGACTCACATGATATAATAACAGACTCAGTTGTGTATACTTGTCTATTAATATATTGTGTATTATTAATTTTATTATGTGATCTTTGTGTTACATAAGACACACTGTGCAGACTATAAAATTGTGAGTTAGTTATTGTGTTTATTAACCAGATATCAAATCAATTAATATGTCATACACAAATTAATTATTATCATTTTAATTTTATAGATTAATCTACCAGACAATGTCACTAACAGATACAGGCATTCTCTCTCAGTGTGGAGTGTAACCCCAACTACTAACTGGATAATTGAGTTTGGAGGAGGCTTTGAAAGCCACTCTACTGATACAGCAGTTATTGAACTCAGTAAGTACATGTAGACAGTAGAAGATACAATGTGTATTGAATATGTAATAATAATTAGTAATGATAATATTACAATAAAGTAAGTAATTCTTATGATGAGTATTTAATGAGAGCATTTGACGTATACCTATGATACTAATTATTACCAATTCATTCCTGCTATGTACAATAGTGAAATATAATAACTGCAGATACAGAAACACTGATATTAATAGGAGCTAGAGTGAATGAAATATTATTATCAGTGTATTTATATACAATAATATGTTCATGTGGTTAACTGTGTAAACTGACAGAGGTCACACATACAATAATTAAACACGAATCCATCAATAATAAGGTTACCATAGTAACTAAGTGTAATTAATTTGTGTATTTCTTATTCTCGACTATTTTGTTACTATAGGATATACTAGTGATAATGATTGGTCTACTAGTGTAATACCTCTGGACCAGTATCAAGATCAACTAAGAAGAAGGATTCTGAGTGATTGGGAGAATTTAGGAACAGAAAAACAGCTTCAAATATTTCAAGATTGTCTGCAATTACAGAGAGAGAGAGAATTCTATGAGGAACAGCTTCAAAAAGAAATAAAAGAGAAGGAGCAGATACAGCAAGATCGAGACAAAGAGCAGCAACAGCTTCTTCAAGAAAAGGCAACACTTAGTCAGCAACTTGATGATGCTACCACTCTCCTTGAGCAAGCAGAAAAGGATAAATCAACTTTTGAATTAGGTACTATTGTGTTGTACTGTTGTTTATGTGTACATTGTTTACATTATAATACTAGTGGATTAGACAATGTTGAGTATGGAAATAGTATCCTGTACTCAATATACAGCAGAGATCAGGGCCAAGTTAACTTCGATACGCAATTTCATACCGTAACTTGCCTGTACGTATTAAGTATGTACGTACCATAGCACTTACTGTATACGTAATACTTGAACATTTAGCATTAGTTTAATGTTAGTTTACCATTTCTACTGTATAATGCTATGCTCATGTAGCGTATCATGTTATAATGTTACTGTATAAACATCTCGTATAAAGTATACTTTAAAATCTGAACTACAAACCATACTAGTAACACATGCTTGTTATACATATATGCCTCATGCAAGAATTACCATCATATGAAATAAGCCAAATCTACAGTACATGTACATGTACATGTACATGTACACATGTTACATGTTACATGTAGACCTACTGTTGATCGTATTCCCTGCTGTGTAATGTATGTCTTGAGGATACCACTGTCTGTCTTTTGGGGATAACCAAAATCTAATATTTCTATAAACAGAGAGAGAAAGAGAGAGTATAATTTTGACAACAAAGAAATAATTTTGTAAGCGTTTAAATAACGTAAGTGTATTCACTTGGCCCTGAGCTCTGCTGTACATGTAGGTCAAATTGTCCATGCATTAGAAAAAATGAGATTTATGCAGAGTGAACTTTGCTTACCATATATGGTATCATTAGCAATAATCATAGTACATGTATTTATGGGCTACTGTACATTCAGTGCAAATTGGTATAAGCAAAAAATATCATTTTATTTTCTATTTTTATATTTTTATTAATAATAGAAGATTATGAGAAGTTTAAAGCTAAAGTTGCTGAAATATCAGAAGAGAAGACACAAGTAGAGGAGAAGGAACAGATTATTACTGGTTAGTGTATCATCAGTACATAATATTAGATAAGAGAAAATTCTATTAATGTAGAAGATTATGAGAAACTTAAACTCAAAGTTGCTGAACTATTGGAGGAGAAAGAGGAACAATATCTCAAGGAGAAACAGATCATTATTGGTTAGTTAACTATACATACAGCATGTATTAGATGAGAGGATATGCTTATTGTGTAGATGACAATCAAAATCTCATTTCTGAAAAAGACAAAGTTATAGCCAAACTGACATCGAATGAGAAACAGATCATTACTGGTTAGTGTATCATCATCAATCAATAATAATTATTAATATTCTATTAATTTATAGACCTTAAAGAAAAGGAGTTGTACATAGCCAAACTAGTGAAGGAAAGACAAGAGAGGGTCCTCAAGCAACCTATCAAAGAGACTAGTTCCATTGGACTACAATTTAATTACCTGATCCCTTCAATGGGTAAGAGTATTATTGACTGACTGACTGAGTGTATATATTATACGGTTGTGTGCACGTGTACTCACTGTATGTATTTTGTATAATTGACAGATAAATTAGATTGTCTGAGTGATGTCCAGGTAGCAGAGAGGAAGCTGTTCTTAATTCAAGGAGACAAACCTCAACTGATGAATTGGGAGAAATATGGTCTAAGGATTGGAGTACAAGAAGATACCTTATTACCCGCCGATACAGTTGAGGTAGCAGTAGTCGCTCTT